ACAACTTCTAGAAGGCTTAAACTCAAGTATCTGTTTTTGGAAAGAAATTTTAGGTCTCCATTCTCAAACTCTCTTACACACGAATTTGATTATTTATGCTCTGACTGGACTTTGAAGCACCATCGTTTGCAATAGAATAGAGAGGAAAGATCAAAGATTCACTCTTTGATTTACATCATTTACAGGTAAAACTTATTTTATTTTATACAATTTAGAAAAAAAATAATAATAAGAACTTATTTTATCTGAACTTTTTTTTACGTACAATATAATAAGTAGCGGACAAACAAAAAAAGAGAGGGAAATTTATTGAGTAAATAAAACTTCTTCAAAAAACTTATAAAAAATAATGTAAATTTTGATGAGATACTAAAAGAAAATAAATAGAGTAAGAGTAACGTTCGATTAGTATCGAAAGGGTTTGTATTCTATTTAATTTACAGAAATATCGATTATGTCATCCAGGAAATCGGAGGATTCATTCTTTCTTCTAACTTGAAAAGTATCGATACTACTGAAGACCCGGTGTTCTGAATCAATCCAATGAAGTTCATTTTTCAAAAAATCATCACATCAGAGAAGGGTGGAATGGAGTTTTTTGAAATATCGAAAAAAATCCGTTTTGTCATATTTATGAAAAAAGTATTATGATTATTAAGAACTCAACGGGATCTTTCCTCCCGAATCAGACAAACAAAGAAGGGAATCCCGTTGAGTTCTTACACTTTCATGTCTATAACTCAATTCATTCAATTACTACAGGGATGAACCCAATTCGGAATATGAACCATAAAAGAAAATACCTATTAAATCGATTACAAGAATACCAGTTACAGTACCTATTAGCCAAAGAGGAATCCTTCCAGTAGTACCGGCCATTTACCCCTTAGTTTTTTTTTTTTTTAAAAAAAAAAGAATTTCACATGATTGGAAGTTTGGAACTGTTAATATTATAGATAATCCTGTGAAATCAGTTGTATAGTTGTTTGTACATTCTCCGTTTTACATGAATTTCACATGATTAAGATTTGAGTTGCACATTCTCTGTTTTGATTGTAAATATATTATATATAATTTTGTTTACAATATGTGGGTTTTTTGTGTTGTGTGTTAACGATTTTGGGTTTCAATTTAAAAAACTATGGTTCCAATTTACATTTTGATTCTTATATTTGTCAAATATTTTAATTTTGTCCTTTTTCAGTTGAATAATAAAACTTTTATTTGAATTTTTTGTTCACATTACTGAAAAACATTTTGTTTGCTTGTTAATTTAATATTGAAATAATGAAACGAAATCTTGTTTTCTTTATTGTCAGGATTCACGAAGTGCTTGGAGATGGAGTATGATTGCTTTCCGATGGTTCAAAATTCAACCGGTATCATTGTTTAAATCAATACTTGAAATTTTTGCAATTTTGCTATGATTTTTTTTTGTTTGCCTTTTGATGCGAAAATTGGGAAATTAGTTGAGTTTTTTTAAATTTTTTTTTTTTTTTCGTCAAATACACTACGCCCTTAAAATGAAATCCTGACTCCGCCTCTGACCACAGTGGCATGAGGCTTTTCTGAGTGTCTTCCATTTTTCTCTCTCCCTTGTGTGTGGACTGTGTGAGAGAAAAAGAAGTGAGTCTATAATATATTAGCCCATTCATTTTATTTACACTCCTATTTAACATGTTTTCTAAAATTCTAAACAAATGGCTTACTATATAAAAAATTTGTGATATGGATTTGAACATTCCAAAGTTGGAATGTTGTTCGAATTAATTATAAAATAATTACTTATGTTTATTCTGTTTTCCATCAGCATCTTATATGCGTGGATGGGACTAGCATATGTGTCCTACCATACCAAGGATTCATTTCTTTTCTCTCTTTCTCTCAATTTTAAATTTCAATGCTTACAATATCATAATTTCCCAAAATCTAAAATAGAATAACTATTTGCGTACCGTGTCAGGATTCCTTGGAGGTTCGTTTACGGTGTTGTGCATTAAAATTATATTCTCTTTGTTCAAAATAGTTGTCTTTGTGAGTCACAGTTCCCAAAACATACAACTATTTTGAAACTGAGAGAATACTATGTTTGACATACACATGCCATCAAAACGAGGTGGTGTAATGCACGTACACAACTCCTCCAAACACTGAGCAAGTATTGGATACCTGAGAGATACATGGAATATACTAATATAGTACTCCCACCAAGTAATAAATTCAAATTTCTTATTATAAAGGGCAATATAGAATTTTGATTGGGTTGGGATGCTACAAGGTATAAGAATCAGGCCATTTGGTTTTAGTCACTTAGGATACCACGAGCAATCGGTCACTATGATCAATTCAATTTGTGATAGTTTAATATATGGGTTAATTTCACTAACGCCCCCTCAAATTTGATCAAATATCACATTGAAACAACTTTTAAAAATTACTATCACTCTCATTACAAATATTTGTTCCGTTTTTCACTCACACCCCAAACGTTACTTTTCAGTCATGTCAAACCAAATTTTGCATGTAAAATGACATTGTTAACCCTTTTGACTTTATTATGACTTGTTAAAAAACTATTTAATATATAAAATGACACTTTTACCCTCATTTTCACTCAGCCTCAAACTATGATCAAAATTTAGTAAAAAACTATTATTCCACGTCGGATACTTACAAGCATTAATAATAAAATTTGGCCAAGCTTTCATGGGAATCAATTTAAATTAATGATTGAACTTCAAAATATATACACACACATACACACACTAATTCTTCACATACACTTGTATACACGCACACACTAATTCTTCATATATATACACACTAATTCTTCACACACACACATATATATAATATACACACACACACACACAGTTGTAAGCAAACATACATATATAGCACCAAGAAAAGAGAAGAAGAACCCATAATCTAATAAAAAATGTTTCAACCTCTAGGTGGTTAAATCACACTTTTTCAATCCATAAAGAAGCTGTAGGGAAGAACCCGAATGACAGAGACTATTTTTTTTGTTGAAGTTGAAGAATGAAAATACTTGCAAGGGTATTTTTGTCATTAGGTGATTATAAGGGTGTTTTTGTCAGATTATAGTGGAAAGGGATGCAAGTGATTTTCTTCGTTAGTTTTACAGGTAAAACTAACGAGAGGGGATGATATGATAGATTTTTTAAAAGTTAAAGGGGTGATGTGATAGTTTATTTAGTTGAAAGGGTTATATGATAGTTTTGACAAAATAGAGAGGGGTTTTATAATTTTAATCTTAACCCTTAAAAAAAATGCAAACTTGTTTTTAGGGGCTAGGACTGGGTTTGGAATTAATTTATTTTTTTTAAGATATTAAAACTAAACATGTTTAATTAAAATTAAATTAAGTCTCATACATAAATAATATCATTATATAAAAAATCTGGCCGTCTAGTAATATCTTTTCTACCTCTTAAAATAGATGGTGAGAGTTCGAATCATTTAAAATTTACAAGAAAGTACATCATATTGAATTTTATCAGAGTAAATCTCACCATTAAACAATTTCAACCGTTAAATAAAAAAAAATATGTAAAACTAACGAATAAAGAATCTCGACGGTCAAATGCGAACTAAAATTTCAGAAATATATGTAAAGATTCCACTAGTAATGAATCTAAGAATTCACCCCATCATTCTTACCTTGCTTTGCTTGCTTACCTTCACTTGATAGATATTCTCTATTGCTTGGCACTTAGATTTCTTATCTTATTCAAATTAGAGAAAAATGCGTTAAGTATATATATCCTTTAATCCTTCTTTAAGCTAGGAAATGATAGAATTCCTATTATCTTATTCGAATTCGAGAAAAAGTGCATATATATATATATATATATATATATATATATATATATATATATATATATATCCTTTAACCCTTCTTTAAGCTAGGGAATGATAGAATTCTGGTTATCTTGAGGGATAATCATATCATTCATCGCAAAATGAGCTGAACTTGTTACCATTAAATTTAGATACGAACGATATTTGTAAATTGTTCACATCATATCTATTATTTGTAATTATGGTTTAATTTTAATTTTTAGATTTTTGTATGCTTAGATTAAAGCCCTTTTTTTTTTTTCTTTCTCTGATAACTCCTTTTATGTATACACATGAATATTAGAGAAGGGGTATCAGAGGGTATGAGAATATATGATATACTATAATATATAGAAAGCAGACTGGCAAAAACTTGGACTGGCCCAAATATTTAAATCTGGACGCTTTTGAACATGAATCCAAATCCAATGACCCAAATGATTTAAGTTAGCAAAATAAAACTCAGACTAGCCCATATGGTGGGTATACCGTATATGGTTTGAGCCACCATTAAGGAATTGGGGTTTTTGGGTCTTGTGATTTCCTGTTTGCACTTTAGTAACCATGGGCCGTTAGATATCCAAATGAATAGCCAACTATGAGTGTGATTTTCTAAACGTGAGATGTCCAAGAAAAGGGTCTTAATTGGATCGACTGACAATTAATTGGCCAATCGATTCTAAATTACTTTGTTCATTTTGAACCACCCACTTCGTTATTGGGCTAAAAATTTACCATACTAAATGAGTTCATTGTTTGATTGATTATTTGATTATTATTATTATTTTTTGGTTCGATAATTCACCACCTAACGCATGTAATCCCGTATATTAAACAGTCGTTGAAACAAATTTAAGAGTGATTACTAAGATATTCTAACCAATATGTAAAGTGTGAACCTTGCCATTAAAAAATAAGTAAGTTCTATAATACTCTGGATATTGTACTCCAAGAATACAGAACCCTTGATTAGAAATTTGTGGATGATATTTCTTGGAGAACAGTTGCACACAAAAGATTTAGATATTATGGGAAAAAAAGAAGAAACAAGTAATTATCATGTTACAGTGACTTTCACTAACGACAGTAATGTCTTTGGGACATGTTGCCACAGCCACTCGATAAAGAGATAGATGTAAGAGAAATGGACAAATTATAATTATGTAATCTTCCATGGAAATTTGCAGAATTGAGAGTACCTGTGACACCCCGGCCCAACTCTGGGCCCACCATCCCACAAAATTTCATATGATTGAATAAAGACAAAAGAATTTCAATAATACTACAAAGCTAAGCATGATTGGCCAATGGATTGTCACGTTGCCACGTGGCATGCCCTTGTCTCTTTTGAATCTTAGCCTTCACATCCTTGATCAATTGGGTCAGATTCTTTTCAGATGATCCATCGGCAGCTAGTGCATTCTCTAGTGTCTTTCTCAACTTTCTGATCTCATTTCTCAAATCCTCAGATGTTTTTTCATGCATCAGACGGTTGATCTTGATTGATACTTCGTCTCTCCTGACAACTTTTCTATCACATAAATTTATCCCAATCTTCCAATCATCAACTACTAATTTTCGATTAGTAAATTGATCCGTCAACAGAGGGAAGCAAATCAATGGAAGGGTGCACCATATACTTTCCAATATCGAATTCCATCCACAATGAGTCAAGAACCCTCCAATTGCAGGATGTGAGATCACATCAATCTGACAACACCACGTCATAATCAATCCTTGATCTTTGATCTGATTTTCAAATCCAACAGGTAAGAAGTCAGTATCATCCGAACTCACTATGTCGGGGCGTAGCACCCAAACAAAATTCACTCTGCTAAGCAAAAGCCCATGGGCTATCTCCACAATGTCATGCTTACTAGTATGAGCATAGCTACCAAACGAGACATACAAAACTGAACCATGAGGCTTGGTGTCTAGCCACTGGGTGCTGTCTGACTCGGACCACAAGCTCGTAGCCACAGTGCTCTTGGTGAACCCATTAGGGAAAACAGGCCCAATTGCATAAGTGGACTGCTTTTGATGTAGGGCTGAGATTGTTTCAGATTCAAGCTCATGCACTGTGTTACAGATAATAAAATCAGCCTTCTTCACGTCTTTGAATGCCTTGTAGATTATCCGGTGCACCACCGTTGATACATCTGTTGCTTGAAGATACGACATCAGGTCCGTAGGTTCGATAGACCGAACGCCAGGTATGTAGTCAATAGTATCATCACGCTTATCTAATAACAAAGACAAGGTTTAATCTCATTAAGTATAACACACACATGAAGCTAGCAATTGCAACCATATATCTAGACATGCTTATATATATATATATATATATATATATAAAATAATTACGTGATGATATCATTATGAATAATCAATTTAGTTACGACAACATTTTTGTTACTAACCAAAAAAAAAAAACATTTATATATATACGTACATAATATATATTTGAAAATTTTGTATAGAGAGAGGGGAACTTAAGTATGTACCATGACAAGCGAAATGACCATGTTTTCTTAGCAAGTACAAATGATAATACAAAGTTAAAACCAGAGTTGGTTCAGTCCAGAATGAAACATTGACAAGGTTATACTTGTTGGCTATGGTTGACGGCCACACATAAAAGGTGTCGGCGACAAGCAAAGTAAGTGGTGGATCATCAGAGCGGACTATCTTTCCGACGAGTTCATCGACGTGGGCTGAGAAGACATGAAGAATACACTCCATGAACTGGTCGTGGTTGAGTGAGCGGTCAAACCCTAGTGGAAGACCATCACTCACGGTGGCATAACGTATGTCGAGACCGGATTTTCTTGCTCCGGCGAAGATATCATCTCGGATAGGGTTATTTTGTGGTTGGGCTGTGGATATTTGGTGGTGGATTGATTCGGTGTTGATGAAGGTGATAGTGAATCCCTTTGATGCAAGCTTCATGGCCAAATGGACAAAGGGTATTACATGACCTTGGAGAGGGTATGGGATCATTATGGCATGAGGCTTTTGGAGACTTTCCGCCATTAAATCTCTGTTGTGTGTGTGTGAGAGAGAGAGGGAGAGAGAGATTGCTATATGAAGAGGTTGATATAATTTCTTCTTTTTCGAATGGTAATCAAGTATACATATATATAACTTGGCTCACACAATATAGGATAAACTTCATATTACTTAATATGGAACTGTGAAGTCACATTTTTTTGACGTGCCGTACTAAAACTTCCATGTATACTAGACAGAAAAAGACGAGTAACAAAAACAGGATGGTGATGGCCTGTTAATTGACTAAGACCAATAAAGACTGAACATGATGATATATACGCATATGTGTACATCACACAAACACAAGGGACCCATCCCTCCTTTGCTAGAGTACCATGGGGCTAAGTTAGGCCACATTCAGGTCAGGTTTCATTTGATTCCTTTGATTTTTTTTTTTGATTTTTTTTTTTAAAGTTATATTTACAAATGAGTTGATTGAAGTTTAATATTTTTGAAGTAATTAATAGAAAATTCGCGCTCCACACAAGCTAATTAAAACTATATAGAATAATTGGAATATCTTTTACTTGTCACATAGCCAATGTGACAAGAACAAGAGCACTCATTTATTTGGTCCTCAAGTATCTAAAATTTGTTCAGATTGAATACGGGTAAACAGAACTTCATCACACAGGAAGAAGAGAATAAATAAAAATTGACAAAATTTATTTAAGATAATAAAAAGATCGACCAAATTTATTGGTCAATGTTTGATATATCCTCATGGGGTTGTGATGACGCAGCTGCAAGACGGCTTGTTTTGTGAATTTTGATTTCTAGATCTTTGATGAATTGATTAAAATTTTTCTCCGAGGATCCATCAGTTGCAATTGCATTTTTCAATATTCTTTTAACTTTCTTGCTCTCACATCTCAATTCATCACCTGATTTTTTACTCATCAGACGGTTGATCTTGTCCGCAACTTCATCCCTAGTGATTGATTTCTCATCACATAGATTGATTCCTATCTTCCAATCATCCACCACTAATTTTCGATTAGTAGTTTGATCAGCAAAGAAAGGAAAACAAAGCAATGGAAGAGAACACCATATACCCTCCAACACTGAATTCCAACCACAATGAGTTACAAACCCTCCCACTGAGGGATGCGAGATCACTCCAATCTGAGAGCACCATGTCATGATCAACCCTCTATCCTTGACACCATCTTCAAATCCAACGGGTAAGGAATATGTCTCCTCGGAACTTACCATGTCCCGGCGAAGCACCCAAATAAAACTCACTCCACTGAGCCAAAGCCCATGTGCAATCTCCATTATGTTGTCTTGACTAAGTTGGGCCAAGCTGCCGAAAGAGACATACAAAACTGACCCAGTGGGCTTAGTGTCGAGCCATTGGGTGCAGTCTGACTCAGACCAGAGGCTCGTGGCGACAATGCTCTTGGTGAAGCCAGAAGGGAAAATGGGCCCAATTGCGAAAGAGGGCTTCTTTTGATGTAAGGCTGAGATTGTTTCAGATTCTAGCTCTTGCACAGTGTTATAGAGGATAAAATCTACTCCCTTGACGTTATCAAAGGCCTTGTCGACGATTTGGTGGGCCCAAGTTGATACGTCGGTCTCTTGAAGATATGACGTCAAATCTCTTGGCTCAATAGCCTTTATCCCAGGTATGTAATCTACGATGTCCGTGCGATTACCTATAGTTCAACAAATACAATGCTACTAAATATCATTTTCATGAATATTTTGGTCATCAATTTTTAAGAAAAAAAAAAAAATTGATAGTCAGAGTACTATTTACAAAAAGATTACTATGTTGCGTTTAAATTTTCAAAAGTATCATTATTTTCAGTAGATTTCTCAACAGAAAAAAAGAAGAAGAAAAAAAAATTAGAACTTACACACTTAAATCTCTTATTTTCTCCCTCTAACAATTTTTAGTATTTCCTAAATATTTTTACTTTCCTCTTTATTAATTAGCACAATACATATGTGTGTGTATATATATATATTAAAATTGAGAAATAGATCGAGATTAAATGGTGGGAAAGAATGACACGAATCCTCTCCACAACGATTTCTTATGGTTTGGTGCAGTGATGAATTTCATGACTTTAATGGTGAAATTTCTTTCGTAAATAAACGGATATAAATAAGTAAAATTTCTCAATTATATATAATTGTAAATTTCACCATTTAAAAGTGGCCAACTTCACTCACAGGAGTACTGAACAAAAGAAATCTGATTCTGACTGAGAAGAGAAACTTTGGTGGTGGATGCAGTAAATTTTGGTGTGTGTGTGTGAGAAAGAGAGAGAGGGAGGATACTCACAGCTAGAAGCAAAATGACCATTTCTCTTTAGAAGGTCCAAGTGATAGTAGAGATTGAATACCAAAGCAGGTTGAGTCCAGAAAGAAACATTAACCAGCTCATACTTTTTGGCAATCGTGGACGACCACAGATGGAACGTGTCGCCGACCAAGCAAGACACCGGTGGCTTCGCCGTCCTGACTATCTTTCCCACCAATTCATCCACATAACCCCATATGAGATGGAGCTGAGACTCCACAAACTGCTCCAAGTTGAAGTCCAACCCCACCGGAAAACCGTCGCTGACGGTGGCGTAACGTATGTCGAGACCAGACTCACGTGCTCCGGCGAAGATGTCATTTCCGGCTGCGCATGGTTGGCGCCCTTTGGTTATCTGGTAGTCGATTGATTGGGTGTTGATGAAGGTGATGCTGAAGCCCTTTGATGCAAGCTTCATGGCCAATTCAACGGCTGGGTTTACATGCCCTTGAAGAGGGTATGCCACCACAATGGCATGAAGCTTTTGCTGAGTGTCCTCCATTTTTCTCTCTACCATGTGTGTGACTGTGTGAGAGAAAAAAAGGAGAGTAAAAGTCTATATTCGCTTATCATTCATTTTATTTACTCTCCTAATTTAAATGTTTTTTAAAATTCTAATCAAGTGGCTTATTATTTAAATGTTTTAATAAAAAAATTGTGATATAGATTTGGACATTCCAAAGTTATTACCTTTCAAAAATAAAAAATTTCAAAGTTCGAATGTTATTCAAAATAATTATAAAATGATTACTTTTGTTTATTAAGTTTTTCATCGGCATCTTATGTACTTGGATAGGACAAGCATATGTGTCCTACCATGTGCAAACAAGGATTCATTTCCTTTCTCTCACTCTCCCAAATTTAAATTTTAATGCCTACAATATATTAATTATTTTTCAAAATCCAAAATAGAATAATCATTATGTTTATTCTGTTTTTCATCAGCATCTTATATACGTGGATTGGACAAGCATATGTGTCCTACCGTATGCGAACACGGATTCATTTTTTTTCTCTCACTCTTCCAATTTTAAATTTTAATGCTTACAATATATTAATTATTTTTCAAAATCCAAAATAGAATATCATTTGTTTATCATATCATGATTCCCATATATTTGGAGGTCAGTTTATGCCGTCGTGCATTAAAATTGCACCGTTTGGATACATGTCATCGAGGTGGTTTAGTGCACATGACTCTTTCAATGAGGGAACATGTACTGAAGATGCAAGAAATTCATTCCCTCTTTCTCTCTCTAGAATTCTTACACTTCAACCAAAAGATCCTCCTCTATTTTCCATTCCTTCCCTTATTTATAGATATTTACAAGATATTTACAAATATTGACTGATTGCTGGATCTGGGCCTGTTCCTCCATAAGTCCTGGTCACCTTTGATGGGCTTACTCGCGTTCGGCCCATATGGCAGTGTCTTTATATGGGCTGACCCAGCTGTACGGACCGGATGTAGTGCTTGCAAGTCAGATCCGGCCCATGTCGTCCTGGGCCTCCTCAACTGCCCCCATAATTGCCCCTTATTTAATAAGGGGTAATTATTGATGGCGTCTCATCATGATGTTGACGGTTCGAGAAAACCACGTGGGGGAACGGACGGTCAGATCCAGAATCAATGTTCCGGGGCTCGAGGAATTTCTCGCATTCCCGACGCTTCGGCCCTCGGGCCCCCCTCGCCTTTATAAGGCTCTAGAATACCACTTCACGTCCTTTTATCGTCTCCATCATCAGTCAAATCTCTCTCTTTCTAGAACAGTGCTAAGCTTTTTCTGGTGAAATCCTTCAAGAGTCATTCTTCCAGCGATCTTGCAGTCCTCTGAGGTTAGTTTTGTTCCTTTTTACTTTCGGCAGGCTTCTATTTACCCCCTTTTAGATCCTTCAAGCACTTCCACCATGGTTGTAGATCTGGATGTTCTTCGTATGAGACTTAGACTTCCTGACAACATCGAAGTTAGGGTTTGCCTTCAGGACGTTAACATTATGACCGGTGCCGGCCTCCTGCCCGGCGAAGTCTTATTCACGAACCTTCAATTGAATGTTGTTAGGTTCCCTCTGCACCCTTTCTTTAGTTATGTCTTCAATAGATTGGGGATATCCCCCCTGCAGGTCAACCCCAACTTCTTTAGAATCATATCCGTTATGCTCCTGTTGATGCGTGACAGAAATCTGGACCTTGACCTCATAGACCTTCTTCTGTGCTATAAGGTCAGTAAGATCCGTACTAACGAACCCTTCTACCACCTCTACCCGTTCGAGAAGATGTCCATATGTACGGACACAATAAAATCTGAAAAGGGTTGGAGGGATAGCATCGTGGGCATTAGTGGGGCTTGGTCTTCGCCTGCTGCAGAGGGTTACCCAATCCCGAGCGCCTTTGGTGTCTGTTCTGTCTCCTCCTATAAAAAATTCAAATCTCATAAACATGATTGCCCCTGCGAAACATGCGTTCCCCGTTTTTGTACTTTCTTATGCCGTTCCTTAGGAATACCTTGTGATGACTTGAGCTACAGTGTTTGCAGGGATAGGAGTAATTACTTGAAGAAATACGTTCTGAACGATATTCCTTCCTGCTCAGATCTCCTCACTTCAGACAACCTCTTAGCGCTCTCATCACTCGGCTACAACATGAGCAGGCTTCAGATTCCTTCTTTTGGCAGGAAGAAAAATACTCCCCCAGCCACTCCTGCTGCCGGGGCGACCTCCTCTCCAGCGTCAGCCTCTTCCTCAGCCACCATCTCTGACACTGTCCCGAGCACAGTGGCTATTAACTCTGTTGTCAGCACCCCTGCTGCCAACCAGAGCGCGTCTCCCCAAACTACCACAGCTCCTGCTGCTGCGGGGGGCGTTCGGGACAAAGAACGAGGCAAAAGGCCTCATCCTGACAGTGAAGTCGATCCTGAGGAGGAGCCTCTCATAAGAAGGACCCGGGTCTCCGGGCCGGGTGCTCTCTTGCACCGTGCGATCAGAGCTCCTGCTCCCTCCGGGCCTACTGCAGCTGGTGGCTCCGCTTCTGCTTCAGGCCCCCCTTCTATCCCCACCTTACCTCCATGGGCCCCTCGGTACACCCGAACGGATGGGACGTTCGTGAAACCGAACGAGACCATGCTGAAGGATGGCCAGACCGCCATGGCGTACTATAGGAGCATGTGGACTCCGAAAGACCTTGAGGCGGCAAAGGGCCTATCCCAGAAGGATGTGTTCAGCCGCTTTCCCCAATCTGCTATGGAGGTGACTTTTATTTTCCAACTCATGAATTCTCTCATATTATTTGGTCTTGCCTTCGCCCGACCTGACTATTGGCTTAACCATTTTTAATGTACACCTATGCAGACATTGTTCGGAATGATGGCTATGCAGAAGCAGGTGGAGATGGGGAACGCCAGGGCTCGTAAGTTTTCTGATAGCCTGGAGGTGGCTAATAAAGAAAACGACCTTCTCGCCATGAAGAATACCGAGGTACTGGCTCGGCTTGAAAAAACTGAACAAGAGAGAGATGTCTTGAAGAAGGAGAATGACTCTCTTCAGGATGAGAAGGATGCCCTCCAGCTTGAAAAGAGCGTCTGGCAGACTGAGCGTGACTCAATCAGAGACGAAAAGGCAGAACTCCAGCGCCTTCTGGCTGATGAACAGTCTGCTCGGATGGCTTTTGAGAAAAGAGCTCTGGACGAGCGTACCGCTCTGATCGATGCGATCAGCAGAGTGAGCGGTGGGATGCTGGCTCTTCACGCTCGGTTCTCAAGGGTCGGTGCTTTTAGATATGCTCAAGGATTCCGGGAAGGTTTCGCCGACCGAGTTCCGGATGAGGGACAGACCAGCTCCACTCCAGATGAGGTCGACAAGGATCTAGGGATCGAACCTCTGGGGGTCTATGTCGACCCAGAACCCACCGAAGCGGAGCGCATATTCGATGAGTGCCAGGACATTGCTTCCTCAAGGATCATCACAGCTCCTCCTACCGCTCTGCCTCTGACCGCTCCTCAATCGTCAACTGTGGTACCTTCCATAGCCACTGCTGACGCTGAGCCCCAGCCGAACGATTCAGTCATTCATCTTGATTCTCCGCCTCGTGAAGGTGAGACGGCTGATGGGGCCGAGGAGGCGGGTCGGCATAACCAGGATGCTGTTGGTATTGAGGCGTCTAGCTAGGGCTCCTTCGGACTCTTCGATTCCATATCTTTTTGTAACGATGGACATCTCTCTTTTTGTAAACTCAATGTTTAATATCAATGAAATGACAGAACTCTTTTTCCCTTTGTGTTGTGCTCTTTTCAACCTATTTTCAATACATATATATCTTTTCTCTCTTTTCTTTTATATTAGCTTTGCCGCGTGTTTGTTTATGGCAAGTGCCTGGCGCTCGGCTAGAATGCCACTTGCCACTTGGCTTTAAATTTTTAGCAAGTGTCTGGCGTTCGGCTCATGGTGCCAGCTGCCACTTGTCTTGTTTAAGTGCCTGGCGCTCGGCTAGAATGCCACTTGCCACTTGGCTTTAAATTTTTAGCAAGTGTCTGGCGTTCGGCTCATGGTGCCAGCTGCCACTTGTCTTACTTAAGTGCCTGGCGCTCGGCTAGAATGCCACTTGCCACTTGGCTTTAAATTTTTAGCAAGTGTCTGGCGTTCGGCTCATGGTGCCAGCTGCCACTTATCTTGCTTAAGTGCCTGGCGCTCGGCTAGAATGCCACTTGCCACTTGGCTTTAAATTTTTAGCAAGTGTCTGGCGTTCGGCTCATGGTGCCAGCTGCCACTTATCTTGCTTAAGTGCCTGGCGCTCGGCTAGAATGCCACTTGCCACTTGGCTTTAAATTTTTAGCAAGTGTCTGGCGTTCGGCTCATGGTGCCAGCTGCCACTTGTCTTGCTTAAGTGCCTGGCGCTCGGCTAGAATGCCACTTGCCACTTGGCTTTAAATTTTTAGCAAGTGTCTGGCGTTCGGCTCATGGTGCCAGCTGCCACTTATCTTGCTTAAGTGCCTGGCGCTCGGCTAGAATGCCACTTGCCACTTGGCTTTAAATTTTTAGCAGGCCGTTGGAAAAGAAAGTTATTTATTTATTTATTTTTTGTAAATTTCAGTAACTTGCACATTCATACGTATTTGATTGACAACAAACAACATCCAATTAAAGCCGAAACTTAGCTTTTATTGGTAGTACCTCTTCAGAGACGTGGCGTTCCAGGGCTTGCTAACCAACCTTCCCGCCATGGTTTCCAACGTATATGCCCCCTTGCCTATGACTTCTGCAATTCTGTATGGGCCTTCCCAGGGTGGCATCATTTTTTTGACCATCCCCACCTTTCTTTTCAGAACCAGATCGCCAGGGGCAAAATCCCTGTGTTTTACTCTTTTGTTGTGACTATTCGCTAATACTTGCTGATACGATGCTAACCTTATAGCCGCTGTGTCCCTCCTTTCGTCTATCATATCGAGGTTCAATCTTAACATCTTGTCGTTCTGATCTCGACTCCATGCTAAGCTTCTGATAGTGGGGACCAAATGCTCAACCGGTATAACTGCCTCGGTACCATCTGCCATTGC